GCTGTCTGATTAGCAAGGGCAGGTCGTTCCACAGTTTAGGGGCGGCAGCAGAGAAAGCCCCTCTGCGCTTAGACTTCGTTTTTGGCACCCTCAGGAGCAACTGATCAGCTGACCTGAGAGTGCGAGTTGGTGTGTAGCTGTATAACAGCTCAGAGAGCCTGCTGTTATTTTTTTTACTATGTGTTAACATTGAAAGATGTCTCAAACTATGCCACGATATGTGCATGACTTTGAGGGAGTAAGGCCTGCAAGGTCTTTGAACGTGATGTTTGAGAAGGTGGGAGAACTGTGTAGACAAAAGCGAACGCAGTCACTCATTTATAAACCAGAGTTATTTTGGGCCAACAGACCTGACATCTATATCTCACCCCACTGGAGTTCAGCTCTGAGTCGCTTTCCATTAAGCAGTAGGCAAAGACTGAAGCTGTAGTTTGCTGTGGAAGACACTGAACATATCAATACAATGTATCTGCATCCCTGCTGTTATTATATCCACTGAGCCTCTTGATTTAAATGTCTAATTATACAATTTGTTTTCCTTTTCACCTGTAGTTTGACATCATATTGATATTTATTTAATTGAAACACACTCCATCTGCTGAGCTTGTAATGGACTCCAATAATGGCACTCGACTGCAAACAAACACTTCTTTAAAGCAAAAGTTATTCATGAAGAAATGTGTTGAATCCAACTCCTTTTAAACTACATGTATCGATGTGTAAGACAGGGAGCCTGCAATATGATGACATTCATTTAATTGACTTTCTATTTCTTTCAGTAATTGACATCCAGGCTTTTGAGCGTTTGCTGGGACCCTGCATGGACATCATGAAGAGGAACATTTCCCAGTATGAAGAACAGCGTGTGGCACTTTTGGGGTCACGTGTGGATTTGAAACACTAAGACAATCATAAAGTAGTGTATAAGAACTTAGTGAACTCCTGCTTGGGGTAGATGTACAGTACTCCTTTAACATTGTCCGACACACACTTAAATGTGAAAATCCATCTAAAAGGTCAAGGTTTTATAAAATAAGCTACAGATCCATAACATTAAATACATTTTTCATTTGTAAACAATTTATATGAAATTGAGGCACACTTTTATTACCACTTTAGTATCAAAATGATATGCAAAATAAGAAATGTGAGAATTGTTCACCTACACAGAATTCATGTTCATTTGCCCTTATTGTGCTCGTCGATCCCCAATTCATTTAAAGACAATTGAAATTAGCAAACTATTCACAACCCCTTCTGCTGTTTACTCAAACCGTTTTGTATTGGATGACATTTGTAACCTAGTTTTTAAATAACATCTTGAGTAAGGAGTGAAATTGCAAAATGACAAACATGTAAAAAAATAAAGGATTACATCTTAATTTTTCAAGTTTTTTGGAGTTTGTTTTATTTGAGTTACAAAATATGAAGTGCCATCAGCAGACTCTACAGGAGAGTTTGCCAACCTTCTTGTGTTACAAGTATTTACACCCAAAAATCAAGGATATCCATCTACATTTCCACACTTTGCTTTCTGTTTGTCCCAGAGTTTCAAGTCTCTGTTAAGTTCCATTGTCAAAGTTTAAATATTTAAAATATTTACAAAGTCCTGTATTCAAAAACTCCCAAATGATAAGGTAGCTTGTTCGATGCAAAGGCCGGCGCCAGAAGTGAAACTGCGACGATGGTGAGAAAAATGAGCTGGTTGAATTAGAGGAGCTGTTAAACAAACGTGGTCCTACAGGGTCTCCATAAGTCAATTGTTCCTCTCAAAGAAAGCCGGGCGAGGAAGTCTGTACACAATTATTTAAAATTACATTTTTGAAATGTCTCTTGCCATCGCGGAGCAACAGCCTCCATGATCCACACTTGTGAAGAAATTAATGACAATCAATAAAAGACAGTAAAGAAAAAAGGCCACCCAGATAGTCACTCAATGTTGTTCATCAAACATCCTGATTCTTTTTCAGAGCATCTCTGAACATTAAAATAAAACTCCAATAAATAGAAATACAGCAGAGAAATGGTCAAATAAGACTGATTCTGGTTCGGTCCATCCCTGAGTTCTTTTGAGAAGGACAACAAAATACCAGACAGGAGTGACAAAAGGAAAAAAGACGGCGAAAAAAAAAGCGTTGATAGGGTTTATCCTATACATTCCCATTGTGTCCGGGCAAAAACAAAGTCTCATATTCCTCTGGTTTCCTGAGGCTCATCAGCAAGAACATCCGTTGATGGTACGGCTCCCAGCAGTGAAGGTTACACAGAGGTGATGACAATCATGAGGTGTGGTGAGATGCTGGAGATCCTGTTGAGAAGGTCGGGGGCGAGCTGCGACAGGTGGCTCTCGGAGAATTCACATGGTGGGAAAATCTGCAGCACATAGGCAGGCTGGAAAAAGAAACGTCCATTACATATCGGTATTTACGGAAAGGTGTTTCATAAAGCAGGGTTATACTTCTGAACATGCTCAGTGTTGGTGCAACGACAGAGAAATAATAAAATAGAAAACAGACAATATCTTTAAAGGAGACGTTAGAGGTCACACCAGCGTTCATTTAAGTAAAGAAAAAACGATAGTTAAACAAATAAAACGTAATCCCATCCCGTAGTCATTTCCTCTCTTTAACCTTCAAACACACAGTTCAGTTTGCTCTCTGACTTTGTCCCAGATCCTGAGAACTCAAATATTTAGTTTTCCTAGAATATATTGAAATGCTAATATAAATCAATTTGATACATGAGTAAGGCTCAATAAAATATACAGCTGACAAATCATACCGACTAAAACTATAAAAGATAGAAATGACTCAAATGTGACTAAACTAATAACTTATTTTTTCCCCAAGTACTAGGACTAAATCCTTTTATCAAATAATCATTAACCTTCCATAAAAAAAAACGTGTTAAAACACAAGACGGCGTGAAACAATCCTTCATGTCTCACCTGATTGGAGCCTGGGTTGGGGATATTGATGATACCAGCAGCCAACTTTGCCTGCAGGTAGTTGATGAAAGCAGCCTTAAGAGCTTGAGTTTGATTCAGGACGTCGTCTTGGTCTCGCCCGCATGGCAGTGCAAGGAGGAGACAGAAGTCGCTGTCCCCCTGTACAAATAAACATGTAAATATTGTTCAGCAAAGGAAACAGAACTTTCTCGTAGGGAGTTAGGGTTTCGGATAGGAATTGACATGTATGTCAGTGTGTTTTAGGTTTTAGCTGTGACGGTGTTTTATCAGTTATAACAAAATGTAGATGGGTAATTGACCTCAAACATGATTCCATCTCTTTTCACAGGCCATGTGAAGTAACATATGTTAAGAAGGATTTATTTAAATAGATGCATTTATTGGATTCAAAAGGAAAATAACATGTCGACATCTGTTAAGGAAGTAGTATTCGGTGTCATGAAAGTAAATTAGTAAATGTTATGGGATTCAATCTCAGCGTCAGTAGTAACTAACTTTGAGTCGTCAGTGAGAACAGGCAACTGAGTAAGCCGTTAACCTTAAACACTTTTTTTTTTTTATTGGTTAAGGGTTAGGGTCTCTGTATGCTAGTTTATCACATGTATTGGCAGAATGTGAAAGTCATTAAAGCGTTAATCTGCACACCCATAGTATGACTAAAACAAAAAGACACGTACCGTCATTCTTCGGGCTACACTCTCCAATTGTGAAGCCTCTAGTCTCATTCTCTGGACAATCCTAAGCAATGCGCCTCCTTCTTGTAGGGGCAGTGATCGATGAGCCAAAGCTTTGTTGCCACAGACAAAATGCAACTGGACTGCAGCTGTGTCGTTTTTCAGTGCCAGCAGGCCTTGCCAAACAATAGGGTATTTCTGTTTAAATGTGAGACAAAACAGAGACATGTCAGACAAAGCCGCTTCTTGTTCAGCCTAACAACCATGAACACAATTCAAACTGATACGTTTTGTCTTACCGTGAGCAACTGCAACATATTAACAGGCTGCGTCATCTTGCCATCTGGTTTCGTCTGGAGGTCAGCACCCTATGGATTACAGACAATAGTGTTATGTGTCATGAAAAGTAGTTTCTGAAACATGAAGACACCCCGATCTTGCATATTTACTCAGTTGTTATATTGCCAGTCCCGCTTACCGCCACATACAACAGCTTTTTAAAATAGTTTTAAAAAACTGAACATTTCAAGATCGTATGATTTATTGCAGAAATGTGGTCATTTAACTAGGTTAACCTACTGGATAGTTTATTGCAGTGAACTCACCATGGTTGGTGTGACATTCAGTGGTGGCTGGTTAAGTCCAACAGGTGACGTCTCTGGTATTTGAGAGTGGATGCCTCCTCGGTTTGAGTACATCCCTGAGTACTCGGGGAATGAGCCACTAGGTCCTGGTGGCATTAGCTGAGCTCTCTGGGGAGACGCCATTGCTTGCCCAGATTGTCTGATCCCCATCAATCCATCTTTAGGAAGAGGAGAGTGTGGCCTCTTTGCCTCTAATTGCTTTGTTATATCCTTCTCAGACACACCTTTAGACAAAACATGTGCTCTTGGAGACAAGGATAAGGACAGATTGGAGGGCGCCGAGGAGGGGGGAAGAATCTCTTGAATGTGTCCAGAATGAGGATCTGTGGCCAAACGCTCTCCCTGTTGGTGCAAGAGCACTCTCATATCTCGTTGTGCCATGTATGTTTCTAACTGGACACTACGCCCACGAGGATCTGACTGCATAGTCTCTGGTTTTAATTGTGCAGCAGACTGTCTTGCTTGAGCCTGGTGGAAGCGCCTGGCTTCTTCTTGTTCCCCCTCATGACCCCTCAATGAAGCTGGATTTACCTTGAGAACCTTGTCTCTGCCAACAGTCTGTGGTGACGTTGGCCGTGGCTGCATGGATCCAGACCAAGGAGAGGCAAGAGGCTCACTATGCATCCCATAGCTCATCACAGAGAGAGGTGGAGTATTAACCCGAACATCTCCTTGGACAAGATGCCCCACTGGAATTGACTGGGCAACACGGTGAGGAGACATCCGTCCCAAGCCTCCTTGTACACTGTGAGGTTGCATGATAACCGACTGCTCTTGATGATGTACACCCGAGATAAACTGTTGCATGGCAGGAAGGCCAGTGGATAACATCCCTGGTATGCCCTTGGGTGAGGAGGAGCCAATGGGTGAGGACACTTTAGTAAACGGAGAGTGGGGATGACCTGACTTTCGAGGGGATCGTGGTTCTTGTTTGACTCCACTGATATGAGAGGGAGCTCTGTCACCAGCCGCAGTAACAAAGCCTACATGGTTACCAGGCGGAGAGGGCAAATGGGGGCTTATTGCAGGACTTATAGCAGAGGTCCAAGATGGTTTGGCTCCATCCGTACTGTGAGGATCAGCACTGTCCATTTTCTTCTGATGTTTTATTGGCATGTATTCTTGATGGTAACTCATTACTTGTTGGTTACCTTGTGGGAGACGCTTCACTACTCCTTGAGGTCCAGGTTGGTAAGAAGATTCCATCTTTTCCAAACCCGTGCTTTCTTGTTTAATAGAAGTCGACTGCATTTTACCAGGATGCCCATGATCTGTCTGTGATGAAGGCCCCTTTTGAAGTCCTAGATGAGAATGACCATACATTTCTTGTTTTATCTGGGGCATGGATACCAACTGCTGAGATTCCATGTCACCGGCTGTTGCTTGTGGGATCTGACTTATTTTTGCACTTATTCTCTGTGGTCCCTCTATTTTCTGGCCCGAGTGGCTCAAAACTACCACTCCTTCAGATGTATTAACTCTTAGACCTGGGCAAGATCCTGCACCAAGAGTGGGGCTCTCGACAATGAATCGTGTGGCACTTCCCACCTCATCCGCCACAGGCCCGTGGTATGATCCAGAATCGTCCTTGTTAGGCCTATAAGTTGGCTTGGGTAAAGTCATATCCACACAGGGATTTCCAATGTTTATGTTAACTTTGTCATCGGACTCAGGAGGGTTGCAGACGCGACTGATAACAGAGGTTGCAGTGGATGCAATAACAGAGATCACAGACTTCGACTCAGGAGATGGTAGTAAGGCTGGAGGTCGAACTATAGGGGGCGCTGGATGAGCTACCATTAAACTGCTAGGTAGTGGTGACTTATTTGGCACAACAGCTGATGGAGTATTACTCTCAGAAGGATTCTGGTCTCGCAGGGTGGGTAGATTACCAGGAATAGAACTACTGCCTGGCAATGAAAGATTTTTGTGTTTCATAAGAATCTGTCTCAAATCACTTGTGCCATGATCAATAATCATGTTGTCAGAGTCTGAGGGTAAAGACTGGTTTTCCTTTGATGATAACGGCATGAAGGGTGAGACGGAGACTGTATCTTTAGACTGGTGGCGCCAATCTGGTGGAGAAACAGGAATTCTATTTGTTTGAATAGGTCGTATATGTGGCCTGTTAGCTAGTGGAGACAGGGAAGGGGTGGTGCACTCGGCTGGCACCTGTTGGGGCTTTGGAAGTATTGGACTCTTCGATTGGGGGTTAACAGATTTGAGATGTTGAATCTGTTCTTCAGAAGGTGCCTCTATATCTTTGTTTACATCTGTGGCTTTGACTGCCAAAGGCTCTGGCTCAGGTTCTGGCTTCCAAGTAGTAGGAGTGATGACCGTTGTGGTTGCTGCTGATGGAGTTGATGTAAGAACAGTCTTTACACAGGATGGTGGGCTTTCTGCTAAAGGAGTTGTCAACTCCTCACTTATTGAAGGGCCTTCCTTAAAATCTCTTCTTACTTGCTTTTGTCCTTTATAACGTTTAGGTGTTTTAGGTCTTCCCTTGGGACCTTTTTTCGGTGTTGTAGGAAAGACAGGCTCCTCCTTTATGGCAGGTGTATTTGTTGTTGCAGGTTCATCGTCCTTGGCAGAGGGCATCGCGTTTTGTATCTCAGGTTCTGAAACGACATCAGCACTCGGTGGAGGTGCTTGGGATGAGATAACACTTCCATCCTCTGCAGTTATCGAATCAATAGCTGCCATAAGTTCTGTCTCACTA